TCCAGCAAGTTGCCTTTTGCGAGGTTGTGAACGCTTCCTGCGAGGGCCATCGGTTTGGCTACTGCTAAAAGCAGCTGCTGCGCATCCATCTCAAAATAAATATTCTCACATAAAGACTCCAGTCTCTGGAGTGGACGCCAATGGAAGCATGAAAACGCTGCCGTCAAGCTGTGCAAGCGCGAACGTGTCAGTGCGTTGTGTTTCGTTTCAGCTCAGAACGAGTTGCGCAATCGAGGCATGAGGTGTACCATGTCGGCACAACGGCTAACAACCTGAAATCTATAATCCCCAGGCTCGCACGCCAAGTGCAGACATACTGGCCCATCCAGATGCGCTAAAGGTGGGGTACGCACAGCAGAGCAAACATCCAGAGCGAAAGGCTCGGAAGTGGATGCTTCCTTACAGCCAAGCCTCGCCAGATTTCTTGTCACCGGCTCAGGATCGCCTAGCTGCCGCGGTGAACGACACTTGGACGGCATGTTGGGCAGCAACGGGCGACGCTGCGTTCGGGGATTTGGGGGCAGTTCAGGCAGACAACATAAGTTCGGGTTAGGCTTCGGGCGCATGGTCTTCAAAGACTTTCGAAAGTGATTGTCGTTAACAGACCTCTCCGTTGTCTGCCCTCCTGCAGCCGGCCCTTCGGGCGTTTCCAAGCTTACTGCTGATCCCCACCCTTTGAATGATGAGCTTCATGCCTCGCATCTCAACTCAATCCGTTTAGGGCGACTGGAGAGGCAAGTGGTTGAGACCCCCAATTGCCTCGAGCCGTCGTTGAGGAAGTGTCTACATTTTTCTGAGCCTGAGGGCCCAGTCCTCGCATTAGCCTTCTGACTGTGTCTCCCCCGCAAGAGCTATTACGCATTTGCCTACACATCACCACGTCTCAACGCACTCTGTGCATACATGCAGAGAGACCTCCCTCAGCCTGCATGTTCAATACACCTCGGAGGCCAAGGACCTGTTGAGCCCGAATCCTTTCTTGTCTGCACAACCCATGTCTACAAGCCCCTCAGCTAGCGTTGAGCTGTTACAGGTCTAGAAGCTCCCGACGCTATAAGTTCGAAACCGAAACCCAAGAGCCCCGAAGACCTACCGCAAAACCTGAATCCAGAAGCCCTAAGACTACAAAACCCTGAACCCGCACCTGTACCTGAACACCGGAATTGGCCGGTCGAGGTGGCCATTGGGAGCTCGGTAGAGGCGCAAAGAGGGGGGGGGGATTGAGGGTTTGGAAGGCTTACGGGCTGAAGGGGTTTTCGGTTTGAGACCCCAGCCTTGGCCCGCGGCTGAAGCAAGTTCGAGACCCCAGGGCCTGAGTCGCAATTTCTTCAGTCATCTGGTCATGGGCGGATGCGGTCCCCCTGACCCATCTCCTTCCCAACCGCCCCAGTCAGAATCAACACGTTTTCGGGTGCCTTCCTTCGTGATGTGTAGTGTGGATGTTCCCCGGCAGCACTGACATGTTAAAGACCTCGAATGCCTCCTGACATCCCATGGCCCCTCCCCTTCCAGGTGGTGCTCCGGTTCGTTTCGACCACATGGCGCACCAAGGCCTGTTGTTTCTTAGCCTTCTTCTGAACCCTACCATCCTCAACCTAGGTTCCCCAGTCGCTTGTTCACCTAGGTTCCCTTAAATCTGGGGTTTCCTCGGAAGCAAGGATAAGCATGGGCCCCAACGGTTTCAGCAATCTACTCCCTCTTTTGTTCACCCCCCCCGCCTCCTTCAACCCTCAACAATCTACTACAATGAGCTTTAAGGGGGTGTTTTTCACTTTGGGCTGCAGCAATCCCATGAATAATCAGAACCGGAACGGCTAGAACAAAAACAATTGGAGGGTACAGTAGGTTGCCCGCCCAACCCGCACATCCCCGTTCCGCTTTACTTAGTACCTCCCTGAGATGTGGCACTCAGTGTTGGCGTCTCAAGCCTTAAGCTTAACGAGTGGTGTGAAAAGACAGCTGCGTGCAACCTGGACTTACACATGATGCTCATGGGCTTGGATGCGCATGACTGCTTGCCTAAAGGCCTAGCAGCCCCACTTGTCGTGCAAAAAAGAACAGCAGCATTCTTCCAACGCACAAGCAGACGCACTGCCTCGCAGCCATGGACTTCCGACCAAACACTCCGAAGGGTTTCATGTCGGCAGTTTTCTGCTCGATGGCACTGCCGTGTATGCTATGCCCGGGCTGGGTGATTAAGCTTGGCTTCACGGAGAAGATGCAACCAAGGGACGAACATGAGGCTGCACGCACCGAGCTGATGATGCGCTGCTTTGGTTCGCAGGCGATGCTGTCTGGAATCGCCATGTCCGTGGGCGAGTGGAAGCCGGTGGCGTACAAAGTGTGGATCGGTGGAATTCTGCCGTTCTTTGTCTTTGATTTTGTGGCGTGGAAAAAGGGGTACATCAACTCATTGGGCGCAGTTTTCGATGCGATCGGCAACGTTATCTTTGTGACGTGCTCGTTGCTGGCGCTGGTGAATGATGGGAAGCAAGAATGATGCGGTTTTTGGAGAAAAGATCTTGCTTGGGCAACGTTGTTTTCAGGGCATGCTCAGCGTCGCCGGCGCTTGTTGCCCAGTTGAGCTGCTTGAGTCAAGACAAGAAGGAAGGAAGAGTAAATGGCGCTTCGTGCTGTGACGTGCGTCCATTGCAGGTCTGAAGGTTTAGCCAGGCGCTCTTGTGATGTGTTTGTGAGTTCGGCTCAGGGTTTGTACTGGAATGTCAGGATCAGGGTTCAATTTGGCGAGATAGGTCTATAAAATGGTTTCGAAGACTTCGCGAACCTCAATTCAGGTAGAGAGTTAAACGTTAGGGGATATGACGTTGGAAGTCTAAATTAACCCCCGCCCCCCCCTCAAATTTTTTGCTTTGGATTGGCAGGGCATGCAGGAGGGGCCAGTTCACCTGCCGCACCTCTTTATGACCGTCTTCGACACAGAGGCTCCTAGTGTTGAGAGGTCGGTTGACCGGACTTTGTGGGGGTATTTGTGGCCTGGGGTTGGGATTTGGGGTTTTTTGGGGGGTTCGGACTTAGGATTTTGGGGGTCCGAGGCATTCTTGGCTGGTAAACATACCGAGAATCATGAAGGCTGCGCTAGGATTCTAGTTCCTTTTGCCGAGGTTTAGTGAGGAGGCTCACTTTCTCGGACCACGCGCACCCATTGTGGACCCCCTAAGCCCGAAACCCAGACCCGGTCTCAGCTCTAAAGAAACGGCCGTGGCCTTGATACCCAAACCCCTAAGGCCCAAAACCCACTTGGGAAGCCCTAAACTCTGTAGTTTAGTCTCCAAGTGGACGCAGACCGTCTGAGTGATTGTTTGCAGAAGCCCTAAACCCTAAACCCTAAACCCTAAACCCTAAACCCTGAACCCTGAACCCTGAACCCTGAACCCTGAACCCTGAACCCTGAACCCTGAACCCTGAACCCTGAACCCTGAACCCTGAACCCTGAACCCTAAACCCTAAACCCTAAACCCTTAACCCTAAACCCTAAACCCTGAACCCTGAACCCTGAACCCTCCAAACCCTAAACCCGAAACCCGAAACCCTAAACCCTAAAAAATCCTAAACCCTTAACCCAAACTGGCAAGCCCAACCCCAAGGGGATCCCCTCTGCAGGATCCCTCTCCAGAGCTCTCTGCAGCTGGGGAGGTCACTGTGCGTGGCTACCAGGCATTGGGCCCAGGTGTAGGAACTCGGGTTCAAGGGCTTAGGGAATGCCAATGTCCGGAGGTTGCCAAGCACTGCAAGTCCTGGCCACCCGGTCGCCCCAACAATTTCTTTTAGCACAACTTTACCGAGATGGTCCACGGGTCTATTGTTTCGACTTGCCAGGGTTTTTGTCGGGACTTCTGACCTTGTCGTGTGGTAGAAGAAGCGTCCGATTCGGCGTCCAGGCGCTGCTCTGGCAGAACCACAGCGAATCCTGGGATCGTGGTGGCGGCCAGGCCTGTGGCTTTAGGGGTTTGGTCCTGGCCAACGGGTTTACACCCCCCTCTATACTACCCCCCCCGTCTAGGTTCCACCCTTAATTAACCTTAGGCAGGCTTTAATTCTGGGGGCTAGGGGGGCCCTTGTTAATGTAATCTGGGGGGGGCGTTCGGCTGTTTTCAGAGTGCCGCCCAGACACGTGGAGGGGTGCCCCCCCCTAGGTTACATTTTTCCGGTTGGGGAGTGTTGAACGTCCAAAATGTCGGCAGATCTTCCGGGACATCCCAAAACCCCCCCTCAGGTTACATTTCCAGGTTGGGCCGGCATAATTTTAGTACAATTTTTTATACCGGTCGGTTATGGTCGCTCGCACGCCCTGCCACATTTATTAGGGCTCAGAAAGCAGATTCGTTTTGCTGAGCTGGCCATGTGGTGCAGCCTGGAGCCCTGGACAAGCTGGCCATGAAAAAGAATCACTTCCAAGCACCGCCATAAGCCCTACAGGCCGAGAATCCCCGAACCGGAGAAACCCCTGCAGCCCAAATTCCCAAATTCCTGTAACCTAAACTCAGGTACCGGGTGGTCTGCTTAAAGAGAGGGTGTCCTCTTGTTTTCAGGTTGCAAGAACCGTGACATGACAGACACATCCGGCCCCTGGAGCTTCGAAACCATTCGAAACCTAGGCATTCGAAAATTGCTCCATGAGGCATTCGAACCTCTAATTGTTTTCTAATCCCTTTTAGCCCCTAAGCCCCAGGCCCTATACCGCCTATGCCGTAAAACCGGGGGCAGCTGCTCAGCCATTGCGGTTTCCAGCTTCTGCGACGCCGAGGCTTTGGGGTTTAGGGTTCTGAAAGGGTTCTGATTTTTTCCTAGGAGTTGTAGGATTTTCTTTAGGGATGTTACGGCAGCTAGGGCCTGCTAGGGTTGAGGACGGTAGGGTTCAAGAACAGGGCCAGGCCCCACTTTTGCATCCTTGTTTACGCGAAAGCAAGCTTGTTCTCTGATCAATAGGCTTCCGAAAGGGGTAAGGTTTTGGGCTTTTGGTTTAGGGCTTCGGGGGTCGAAGCAGTCAGTTCTCACATAGTGGCTGCTGCGGTCAGTCATCACACAGTGGCTGGGCCTTTGCTCAACCTAGTTTCCACGAGGTCCCATGTAGCCTTCCAATGGGGATCGACTCTGCAGGCCAGGCTGTGAGTAGGTGAAAACACCTGCAGACCCAACCTGGGCCAGAAATCCATTTCGGAACAGACTTGGGTCTGCAAATTCAATCCAATTCGGTGATTCTTAAGAATCACAGAAGGGAGAAGGGGTACCGCCGTGCCAGCAGGCCGGGGCTCACGCAGTCAGGCCTGGGATCTCTCTCCTGCCTGGTTTCTCCCTGTCGGACTGCGTGAGCCCCGGCCTGCTGGCACGGCGGTACCCCTTCTCCCTTCTGTGATTCTTAAGAATCACCGAATTGGATTGAATTTGCAGACCCAAGTCTGTTCCGAAATGGATTTCTGGCCCAGGTTGGGTCTGCAGGTGTTTTCACCTACTCACAGCCTGGCCTGCAGAGTCGATCCCCATTGGAAGGCGACATGGCACCTCGTGGAAACTAGGTTGAGCAAAGGCCCAGCCACTGTGTGAGGACTGACCGCAGCAGCCACTATGTGTGAACTGACTGCTTCGACCCCCGAAGCCCTAAACCAAAAGCCCAAAACCTTACCCCTTTCGGAAGCCTATTGATCAGAGAACAAGCTTGCTTTCGCATAAACAAGGATGCAAGTGGGGCCTGGCCCTGTTCTTGAACCCTACCGTCCTCAACCCTAGCAGGCCCTAGCTGCCGTAACATCCCTAAAGAAAATCCTACAACTCCTAGAAAAAATCAGAACCCTTTCAGAACCCTAAACCCCAAAGCCTCGGCGTCGCAGAAGCTGGAAACCGCAATGGCTGAGCAGCTGCCCCCGGTTTTACGGCATAGGCGGTATAGGGCCTGGGGCTTAGGGGCTAAAAGGGATTAGAAAACAATTAGAGGTTCGAATGCCTCATGGAGCAATTTTCGAATGCCTAGGTTTCGAATGGTTTCGAAGCTCCAGGGGCCGGATGTGTCTGTCATGTCACGGTTCTTGCAACCTGAAAACAAGAGGACACCCTCTCTTTAAGCAGACCACCCGGTACCTGAGTTTAGGTTACAGGAATTTGGGAATTTGGGCTGCAGGGGTTTCTCCGGTTCGGGGATTCTCGGCCTGTAGGGCTTATGGCGGTGCTTGGAAGTGATTCTTTTTCATGGCCAGCTTGTCCAGGGCTCCAGGCTGCACCACATGGCCAGCTCAGCAAAACGAATCTGCTTTCTGAGCCCTCACAGGTGTGAGCGACCGCAGACAAACAAGGACTGGAATCGCCTCTGCATATTTTCAACGACAGCAGCCCAAACCCTCAGCCTGCCGAAAACATAACCCAAACCCTACACTGTACCCAGCCCTGCCAAGCCGTTGAACCCTATACAAAGAAGCTGGAAATGTAATGTGGGGGGGGGTGGGTAATGTAATGCGGGGGGGGTTTCGCGAACGCGAGGCGGACCAAGGAGATTACAGATGTAGGTATAAAAATGTCCTGTGGGGGGGGTGCTGCCTACATAGACAGGGCTCGGAAATGTACCCTAGGGGGTCCCCCCCCCCCCAACACTTACACCCCCCTAGTCTGGGGGGGAGCCTAGGGGGGGTAGTATAGAGGGGGGTAGTAAACCCATGAGCTGATGTCCATGACCATGACCCTGAGCTGCCATGCTGTGACTGTTCATAAAGACCTTGTGAGCCTTCTTCAGTGGAGAATCTGTGGAGACCCCACATCACCAGAATCCCGTGACTTTGCTATTCAAGAACGTCAAGCCTAAGACTCTACGAACATAAAACCCAAAACCCCCGGACCCCAAACCCCAAACCCCAAACCCTAAGACCCTAAGGCCCTAAACCCTAAACCTGCACCCTGAGAGAGTTGCCAGGTTCTCCCGCGTGGGCCGGCACCAGTTGTGGCGTTCTCGCACGTGTCGGAGGCACCCGCCAAGTACAGTTGGGATGAGTTGAGGGTTGATGCTTTAGACAGGGTCTCGCATTCAGGGGGGCCCCAGTCTGGAGATCGAGTGAGCGGGAGGGGGAGTATGGAGGGGCACAGAGAGAGGTGCACACTCCTATGAAACCGCATGCAGCTTTGCCCGGCTGCTGAGGTGACCTTGGTGCTCAAAGCAAAAGCGAGCCCAGGCGGGGCAGGGCAAGAGCTGTGCTCAAGGTACGAAGCCTGCAAGGGTTTAGGGCTTAGGGTGTTTTCCCCTGATTCGGCTCTATTGGGGTGGCTCGGGAGGCGTTGAGCAGGCAATCGGTGGCCTATGCTGGTTTTGCTTCATTCTGATTGCGGCCGGCTATGCCAAACTGACACAGAGCTGATGCCTGTGCTAGGCTGAAGGCAAAAAACACAGGTTGCCCAAGTTTAGAAGGGATACACGATAGTAGAGACCCAAAAGCCGCCGCAACTTCGCTCAGCCCACATTCCCGAAATGTTTGGAGGACGGGGATCTTTGAACCCTTAGAC